TTTTGGGCTACTATGAAAAAAGCTACTTTGAACATTCATGTACAACTTTCTGTGTGAAAATAAGTCTTCATTTCTCAATTGCCCAAGGGTGAAATAGCCATGTCATATGGGACGGTAAGTCTGTTTTTAGTTTTGACAGGAACTGTCAAAATACTTTCCAAAGTGACTACACCATTTTGCATTCCACCATCAATGTATAAGTGATCCAATTTCTCTGGAACCTCATCCTCACTAGCATTTGGTGTTATCACTATTTTTCATCTTAGCGTGTAGTGTTATCTCACTGTAGTTTTAATTTGCAAATCCCTAATGACTTAATGGTATTGAACATCATTTCATGTGTTTATTTGCCACCTATACATTTTGGTGAAATGTCTGTGCATGTCTTTTGTTCATTTTGTAATTGGAGAGTTTGTTTTTTAATGTTGAATTTTGAGAGGCTGTCATATATCCTAGATGTAAGACCTTTGCCAGATATGTGGCATGCAAACCCATTTAACAGCCTTTGGCCAAACAAAAGTTTTCAATTTTAATGAGGTCCAGTTTATCAGTGTTTCCTTTTATAAGTAATGCTATTGGTATCAAGTCTAAGATCTTTTTGCCTAGCCCTAGGTCCCAAAGATTTCCTGTATTTTTTTCTAGAAATTTAACTCAACTTCCGTTTTAATCATTCAAATTTTCTGCTCCTTTATCCAGTTAGGTCTTACGTTTCTTTACTATTATCTCAATTATTTAGAGTTTTTTTTTTGTTTTTTGTTTTTACTTTTTTGAACTGCATTTATGTCTTCCAATTCCAACACAATCATTACCCAAGAGTTCTCTTATATAGAAATAGGATTTCACTCTTGAAAGATCAAAAGTGATCTTTTTAAAACATCAAAAATGATTGTCCATTGGGTAATTTTTCTTAATCCATGGATTTAGCCCATCCTTTGGTCTGTTTACAGCTTATTAAATGAGGTGATATCCCTGGAGGGCCAAATTGAAAAGCTGGAGTCACCCCAGGACCTTGACCTTGATCAGGGGGAAAACATCGAGGTAAGCTGGAGGCTTGGAGAGGACAACTTGGGAGGCTGTGGGGACTCGGCCACCTTTTCCCACCCCTTCTGTTGTTTAACAGGTCACAACAAGAATTAAAACCCATCTTCTGTCATAGGAGAAATGCTCTCTGGTGGTCAGTTCTGAGCATCTTTCACCTGGGTACTACCACTTTCATTCTCTGATTACACAAAAAGGCTAAATTTTTCTATTTTACCTAGAAACTCAGTCAGACAAATTTGACAGTTTTACATGTTGATGCCATCTTAAGATAATGATGAGTACCTTAAAAGAAAAGCTCTCTTTTTAATCTTTGTAATCCAAGACCTGACAGTACAGAGAAGACAGTCAGGAACTAAATATTTGTGAAGAATTGCATCCTTAAAATATAAGAGATATATTTGTCTTTGTCTTTGATTGTTTCATGAAGAGTCTTTGTGTTGTATTTCGCTATCTCCAAAGTTTTCCTGTTGTTTTGTCTCCTTGGATTTTTTAGAGATTCTTTTCTAAGAAAGGTTTAACTTTCCCTTTTTTAAAGAGTCATAGAATGTTAGAAAGGTAGTGATCAACCCTGGATAAGGATTAGACTTTAGAGCCCTGGCTAATAGCTTTTCTGCTCTACTGAACGTCAGGCTTTTGAAGAAAAGTACCTTAAAAAGGAAAAAAGTCTGTGTCTAGCTACCTCTTTTTATTGAAATTGCCAACCTCTGCATTAACTTAAGTTCAAGAGTTTAAATTAAGTGGATTTTGGAAGAAGTAAAGGAGAAATGGCTCTCTTATTTAGGAAGATAATGTTTATTTAGATTCCTCACATATTAAAAGCCATCTACAGATCAGCACAGATTTATCACCAAGGAAAAGAATACTTTTGTTTCTGATTTAGTCCGTCTTGTGAAAGTAGCAACTTCATTCTGTGCTGGTTGAAAAGTCAAGAGTTTTTTTCACTCTCCTTGGGATCTTACAAACTATGAAAAGAGTGAAGAGGACAAAGGTCAAGAAATATTCTGCCCNAAAGGGACTAACGACAGCCACTTCATTGGTTTCTTGAAGAGATTAATTGTAACGTCTAGCATTCATATTGTCTGGTACACAATAAACAATAAATGCAAGCTATTCTTAGAAATAAATTCCTCTGGCCTTGTGAACTACCCTACCATGTCCCACTCTCTTTCCTACTGCAGAACTATCCTCTTCTAGACATTTTTTCACCTTTCAGTTAAACATCTCCTTCACATTCGGTTAAACATCACCATGTCTTTCAGTTAAACATTTCATAGCGGCCTTCTCCTGACCGTCCTATCTGAAATGGCTCTTAATTTCTTCCAAAGCATTAATAATATTTGTTTTTTAAAAGAATCTGTGGTTGTCATTCAAATCCTATACATTAAACTCTCCTTCCAGTTTTAAAATTAAGGTATCATTTACAGACAGTAAAATTATGTTTTTTTATTGTACTGCAAGTATTGAAAAATGCATACAGTAGTACAGCCCCTACAGAGAAGAAATAGAACATTTTCATTACTCCTCAAATTCCTTCTGCATTTTCGTAGTTACTCACTCTCCCCCAGCTAAGCTACTGGTACCCACTGATCTGTTTTCTGTCCCTAATATAGTTTTGCCTTTCCAGTATGCCACATAAATAATCCTGCAGTAGGTAACCATTTGAGTCTATCTTCTTTCACTTAGCCTTATGCACTTGAGATTCACCCATGTTGTTGCATGCATCAATAGCTTGTTCCTTTTTGTTGCTGGTTAGTGTTCCATTATATAAACAGACCACGGTTTAACCATTCACTAACTGAAGCACATTTAAGTTTTTTGACAATTATGAACAAAGACACTATAAACATTCACCTATGGGTTTGGGGCTATTCTAATTTTTGTTTTCCATGTAGATTTAGAGTCAGCTTGTCAATCCTGCTGTGATGTTTATTGAACTATCATTAATCTATAGATAAATTTGGGAAGAATGAGCATTTTAGCAATATTGACTTTTCCAATTCATGAATATAGTATATCTGTTTATTTATGTCTTCTTTGATTCCTTACATTAGTGCTGTATAGTGTTCAGTGTACAGATATTTTTACATTTTGTTAGATTTATGCCTATGTATTTCATGTTTTTGTTGCTATTATAAGTGATAGTTAAAAAGTTTTAATTTCTAGGGGTCGGCCAAGTGGCTCAGTTGGTTAAGAGCGTGAGCTCTGAGCAACAGCATTGCCGGTTCAATTCCCCCATGGGTCAGTGAGCTGTGCCCAAGCTGAGCTGCTGCTGAGCTGCCAACAGGTGGCAGGATGGCTCAGGTGGTGAGAGCCCTTGCTGGGGTGGTGGGAGATGCCCCGCCCCCCCCCCTGCAACTAAGATTGAAGGACAACAACTCGGCTGTTTCCCTCCCCTAATTCCCCAATAAAATCTTTTAAAAAAAAGTTTCAATTTCTAATTGTTAATTGCTAGTATATAGGAATACAATAGGTTTTTTTTATATTGACCTTCTTTCTTGTGACCCTATTAAACTTACTTATTAGCTTCAGTAGTTTTTGAAGGTTATTTGGTATTTTCCACATAGATAATCATGCCATCTGCAAAGACAGACAGCTTTTTTTTTTTTTTAATTTTTATTGAGTAATTGGGGGGATGGGAACAGTGCTGGGGAATTGGGGGAAGGGGAACAGACAAGTTGCTGTCGTTTTGTTCTTCAGTCTAGCTGTGGAGGACGT